TAATGAATAACAGTCATAATGAGAGTCAATATGGCCGGGTGCAGTGGGTCAAGCCTGTAATCCCAGCACTTTGGGAGACCGAGGCGGGCAGACCATGAGGTCAGGAGTTTGAGACCAGGCTGGCCAATATGGTGAAACCCCATCTCTACTAAAAATACCAAAATTAGCCAGGCGTGGTGGTGTGTGCTATAGTCCCAGCTACTTGGGAGGCTGAGGCAGCAGAAGAGATTGCTTGAACCCGGGAAGGGGAGCTTGTAGTGAGCCAAGATTGAGCCACTGCACTCCGGCCTGGGTGAGAGAGAGAGACTCCATCTCAAAAAAAAAAAAAAAAAAAAGTGTCAATGCAATACTAAGGGTCTAGGCCCCGAACAGAGTTCTAGAAACAAAGATGTCCCTCTTCCCAGTGACTGACTGTGTCTCCCGCATCATCGTTTTCTGCCTGTTAAAATATTTGCAGTTCCCTAGGTCCCCTGCGAGGGATGTCAGGCTGGGCTGGGAGCTGTCCTCAGACTGGCTTGTGCTGTCTGCAGTGATTAACTTTTCCAAAGCTTATTTGGGGTTAGTGCTAATTCCGTGTTCTCAGCATGCTTCAGCCATGGGGGAAAAGCCGACACAGCCTTTATCTGCTGGACTCCACCATATCCTCGGCAGAGGTTTTTAGTCTATCATTAACTCATAGTTTCTCACTTAGCTGGTCACAGAGCCAGCCCTCAGAAGGAATGCCTCCTGTGCAGACGCTCACTTGCTCATCTCTGAAGCTAAGTTAAAAGGCAGCACAGGACATGCTGGGCAGAGCCCACACCTCCACCGTCCCCACGCGTGCTGTCAGCAGGTGGATCCTGCTCCGGCAGGCCACCGAAGACCCTGTCATCCAGTGGGATGACAGGTGTTTACCTAAAAAAAAAAACAAAAAACAAAAAACCAAAAACAACAAACCCTCTGCTGGCAGTGTTGGGTCAGAGACGGAGGCAAAAAGTAAAACAAATATCCTCATATTTTCCCAGTCGGGTCCTAAGGCAAGCCCTTGGGTGAAATACCCAGGCAGAAATCTAGTTGTCAAGAAATGTCTTCTCATCCATCGTTACGGAGGGTCTGCGTTGCAGAGGGAACACCTTTTGGTGTTAACAGTTCTTGCAAATGCGGCTGAACTGTGGTTTTCAGTTATCTGAGCTGCTGAAAAACAGAATGGGCACATCTGGACAAAGATACCATGCAGTAAAATTACCTCTTCAATAAATATCTTTAAACACCTTGCATTTTAGCCGCTGCTTTCTGATGAATGGCTCGATGGCTTGCCTGGATGTGTTACTGGGGTTTGAGGTTAGCCAGGAAGACACATGGGCTGCTGCTGGGACACAGACACAGGAGACTCATGAGGGATGATCGGCTGAGATGGACTGGTCCTAAGACCACCGTGGTCCTGAGCACGGTGTTTCATGCCATGCATCTTTGCTGGGGGCATCGTTCTCCTCCTCCCTCTGCCCCTCTGCTGGTTAATTCCACTCGCCCTCTTTCAGGCATCATGTTTCTCTCTTTCTGCTGGCCACGTTCACTGTGCACGCACCTCTTCCATCGGTGGACAATGGCGTTATGGGCAGCAGACTCCTCGGTCTGCGAGCAGCTGGAGGGCGGAGCTCTGCCTTTCCATTGTTAAGTCATGGACATGAACACTTTGCTCGTGCATGACCAGGGAGAGCACCAAGCATTCTTTATCAAATGCATGAATTAATGCAAAAGTGGCATTTCTGAGCTCCTCTGCCACTCACGGGCCGTGTGGGTTCGCAGCTCTGGACAGAACGAGGGCCCGCCATTCCTCCCGCACTGAAGTACAGACACGAAGCAAGCACTCCTGGTTCGCATCAGTCATAAGGATCTCTCTCAAAACCAAAATGAGGCCAAAGTAAAATCAAATCTAGTGCTAAGAGCAACAAAAGGAACTTCCCAGCCCTGGTTCTAGTCTCGTTACTTTGAAATGATGCAGAAATTCCACCTTCTTGGGCTGTTTGCTCTCGAACTACAGAGAGACCAGAGCACCCTGAGCACAGGTGCGGTGGAGAGAAGGAAGAAGGCAGCTTCTGCTCGGAGCTCGCTGGTCCTCAGCATCCTGGAATGGACATCAATCTGATTTTGCATAGTTTTCCAGATCCATTGTATTGTTAAAATTCCAGGCATCTCCCAAGGTTGTGTTAGCGAGCTCGTAGCCCTTCTGGGCCACGCAGACTTCCAAGTGACTCCACTTTTGGCTGAGTCCTCCGTGTTGAACTGTGTCACCTGGAGGTTCAGGGTGGAGGGACTTCCCTCTCCCCCCAGCTGCAGCCCTCAGGGTCTCCCACCCCAGGCTGCTGCCCTGCCCACCCGCAGCACCCCTCCCAGCCCAGCAGTCCTGCCTCTCCATTCTCCCAGGCGTGGTCTTTGGATGAAGGACTGGAGTGTGAGAGCAAGGAAATGGAGGGGGTGAATCTCCCTCCACAGCTATGACTTCTGTCCTGAGAGTCTCACTCATTCGTTCATTGATTCACTCAGATTCTCTGACTCAGTCATTCATTCACTTACTTATTCACTGACTCATTCACTCATTCATTTGCTCATTCACTAACTCCCTCACTCATCCACTCACTCATTTACTAACTCCATCATTCATTCACTCATTCACTGACTCACTCATTCACTCCCTCCTTCCCTCACTCAGTCAGTCACTCACTCACTAAATATTCATCAAGTACCTCCTTTGAGCCAGGCTCTGTTCTAGAGGTGTGGGATACACCTCTAAACCACAGCTTCCTGATCTTGCAGCTGACATTCTAGTGTCAGCAGACAGAAAATAACAAACATCAGAAGCACACGGTATTACAAGGTCAGTCAGAAAGTGACAAGGGGTATGGAAATAACACAAGGCCAGGGTCAGGGCGCTGGAGGAGGAGCTGTAGTTTGAAAGGGCCACAGGACAGGTCTTATGATGCTGAACAAAGACTGGAAGACCAGTGAGCCCTTGGGGAACTTGGGCAGGAGGGGCCCAGGAAGCCAGACGGGCTGGAGCCAGTGCTGGGGGTGAACCTGTTCCATGGAGGCAGGGGAGGAGGCTCTGTGGGGATGGGAGGGGTGAGGCGTGGCTGTCCTGACACTTTCCCACTTCTCCACCTGTCCCCAGCTGCATCCTCCTTGGCAGCACGGTGTCCTCCTGTGACACGTGCAGACCCATCTGTCCACCGCCTTCCTCTCCCACGTCATCACAAGCCCCACAGGAGCAGGACTTTGCTCCATCCACAGCTCTATCCCCAGCCCTGGAAAGAGCCTGAGATGGGGATGCCCAGCAGGAAGGGTGGGATAAATGGAGAAGCAGATCACGTGGGGAGGAGCTGTGCGGTCCCACCTTGACCGCTGGCGGGAGGGGCAGGGGGTGCGACAGGCTGTGAAACCCTGAGGGGCTGCGTCTAGCTTCCAGGCACGTACTGTGCTCATCGCCCGCAGGCTACCACCCAGGTCCACTGTCCATGAAACAGGCTTGTCTGAGATCTAATCGCCATGTAAGGCGAAGTCTCCATGGAAAATATGTTCCAATGCCGGGTCGACTAACAGTGACCTTAGGTGCCCGTCTGTGAGGTGAGCACAGCCTGAGCTTCTGATAAGCTGAAATTTTCAGGGAAGCGAAGTAAGAGACTCCAAAGGGCGGCCTCGGTTTTCATTTCTTGGAGGTCCCAGTTGGGAGGCACAGATGTCCTGAAACTTTACACGCTTCTCTCTAATCTTACTTTTGAAAAGAAGTCTCATCTTACAAAATTTCTTTTATCAGAACTGTAAAACTAGGTTTTTAAAAATTCTCACTCTTTCCCAGTTTGAGTGCTTTGCTGGGGCTCAGGCTGAAGGAAGAGGAGAGCTGGTTTTCTCCGGCACTGCTGTTACACATTCCCAGAGGTGAGGGCTGGGGCTGCACGTGGGGTCTGCCCGTCAGACACGGGGCCACTGCTTAATGCAATGTGTGGAGGCCCCAGACTCCATGAGGACGTAAAGAAGACAGAGTAAGCATAAAGAAGACAGGTAAAGCAGGTAATAAACTCTATACTGTAGAGGACCCTTAAATCTTAAAAAAATATTCCTTAAAATCCTTTGAGGTTAATGTGTTAGGCCGGAAAAAGAAAATCCCAACATAATTGTATTTGTCTTAATCCAAAGGAAAGGACTAAAAGCAACTGATATGAATGTATCGCCTTCCTCAGAGGGGAAGAACAGCCTCCAAGTTTTAGCCGGATAACTCCCTGCATGGAGGATTCGTCGGACGCTGACGGCTTCACCATTCGGAGTTGGCGCCTTGGCAGAAATAGGCCACTGACAACTTGTAGCTTGGTGAAAAGTGAGATACAAGAACTTTTTGGACAATGTCCAGCCTGGCTCAGAGAACTGGAGATGGCTTTACTAGTACCTCCACTGACAGAGCTCCGGTTTATTCTAACAACTGGGCACTGTTTTGTTGTTGTCATTTTTTTTTTTTTTTTTTAATGCGACTTACATGTGGCATTGGCCTGACTAACAATGGGAAACGCAGCATCAAATCTGGGCTTGCCCACAGCCCTAGCAGTAAGGGTCCTGGCTGAGCAGCTCGTGGGGACTTTTGTCTGCTCAGCCCTCGGGGTCAGAGGACAGTCACTCCTGGAGCAATCAGGAATGACTGTCAGGGAGGCCGGGGAGGGGGTGCAGGCCGGACAGACACCGACACCACAGAGGAGAGGAGGAGGAGGAAAGCTGAGGGGACGTCAGGCCTCCAGCTGGCGGGAGGGGCACTCGGCTGTCTGTGCCTCCCAAGTTGCCAGCCCACTCAGTGGGGTCCTGGGACCTCCTGCCTGCAGGTGGCTTCTCTGCATTCACCTCCGACCTACCTGTGACCTGGACACTGAGGACCCTTTGCACCGAGCCACTGTGTTCCCTCCAACCCCTCCCTGTCATATGTGTGCAAGCAACCCTCCCTGTCACGCGTGTGCAGGCTGGGACTGAGGCATGCAACTTACATTCCAGTCTATGGTCACAAAGAAGGGATGGCGCTTAATTTCCTCCACTCCGTCAATGCCAGCACCTGTCACAACAACACAGAGAAGATCATCAGAGCAAATCCAAGCCGGGGCTCTCTGACAGTTTCCAATACAGCAGTGCAGGGGGTGGGGGCGTGCAGAGGCAGACGTGGGAAGTGGCCCAGAGGCTGCTCGCTCCACCCAGGGCAGCTGTACACCTGCTGATGGCCCCAGCACAGAAAGCCACCCCTCAGCCCCGAGAGCTTGTGAGGCAGAGGCGGCCTGGGGTTGGGGTGGGTGAAAGAGATGGTAAAGAGAGGCACAGGACAGGACAGCCAGGTGCTGCCTGCTGCATGTGAGGGCCACCTGGCACCCCACTGTCACACCCTCACACCCAGGAGCTTGAGGTGCCTGTGAGTGGGAGCACCACGTGGTCCTCCCAGGAGGGGAAGGCGCAGAGCAGCGATCCTGGCAAAGCTGCCGCAGGGATTAACCAGGGAGGGAAGAATTCCAGGAAATGAAGATGAGACTGAGTCCACAGGATCCCAGAGCCCAGCCTCCTGGCACACCTGGCCACCCTTGAGCCTGCTCAGACAGGTGACTGTTTTTACATGGAGGCTGCTTACAAAGATCTCTGCTTTGTCCATTATTTCTACCTAACCTCCTGCCTTACTTTGTTGCTTACATTACAATGCTAAGGACCTGGGGCAGAAAGGAGGGAGGGATGAGTGGGCAGCGAATGACTCTGCATGACTCTAACGGTGGATGCTGTCTACTCAGCTGCCTGAAAACACGACTGTCCCCAGAATGAGCGCAGTGTGGACAGGCCTTAGGACCTCAGCTCACGGATGGCAGTGCGCCCACTGGGGCAGACGCTGCTGCTCGGGAAGACTGTGGCACTGGGAGTGAGGGGTCCGGGAACGTATGCTACAGTTTCTATTCAGTTTTTTTGTAAACTTGAAACTGTTCTGAACATAAAGTATATTAATTACAAACAAAAGGCCCTAAAGCTCTAGGACTGTTTTCTCCAGGATGGGACGGCTGCAGAGGAGCCCATTCTCCCAGGTCACGACTCCGAGAATAGGTGGCTTGGCTGGAAGGGGCAGAAGCTGCAGTGGCTGGGGAATTCCTGGGCAACTCCCGCCAGCTCCAGGCCTCAGTCTGGGGAGGGTCTGATCCCTGGGGCCTGGCTCCCCTGTTCTGCAGGCCGTGTTCCTCTCTGCTGCCAACTCCTAACGACCTTGCTCCAAATCAGAGCCTCCCCATGCCATGCCTGCCCCTTTGAGGAGCCCAGCTCACACTCCTGGAGTGAAGGGCAGAGCAGGGCTGCTGGGGATGCCATGGTCAGCACAGGCATGGCCTAGCCTTCTGGCTGGGAAGTTGGGCTGGGTGGCATAGGTCACCGGGAGTCACAGGAGATGGTGCCACCATGGGTTGGACTGGCCTGTGTCCCAGCCCCTCCCGCCTCTCCGTTCCGCACTCTGGGCAGTGATGTGGAGGAGGCTCAGGAGCTGCGGTGGCCTCAGGAAGTGCCTCTAGGTGGTCACCGGCCCAGAGCCACAGTCCTCTTACCCTGGATGCTCGGCCAGAGCCACAGTGCTGGGAAAGAACATGCATCCTAAATGGTCCACATCCTAAATGGCACTCTCAGCTTCATGTGATTTGGGAAATTCTCCCACTTTGACATGAAAGCCCATCTAGCAGGGAATTAGAGGGAGGGCTCACATTCGGAGTTTCTCCTTCCATGAGGACGTGGGCTCATGGGACAGACACAGCACACGAACACCTCAGTCATCCAATGCAGAATGGCTATTCCCATTTTACAGATGAAGAAACTAAGGCTGACGCAGGTGGGATAACTTGTTCAAGATCAGACCAGAGGTTGTGAGGTACAGGTACAGGCTTTGGGGTCACATCTCTGAAATGTGGCCGAGGCACCCCACCTTCTTACATGTCTTTCCTGAGAACTCCCTGCTGAGGCCCCTCTGGGATTCCCAGTCCATCTCTTTTGTTCTCCTCTAAACCCTGACCCCAGGGATCGATCCGAGGCCTTTGCAATCGCAGCAGCTACGGGAGCCTTTGCAGGCCCTCCAGTGGCTGCTGTAGCAAAGCTTCAGAGCGACAGTGTGACCTCCCAACAACCCTCCCCAAGCGCCGACCCTGTGTGCAGGCCTCCTTTGATGGTGCTCAGAACTCCGGGCTGCAGAGTCCTTCTGCTCACCGTCCTCTGAAGTGTGCCTCTCCCCAACTCTTTGGTTGGGTGACTGCTGGACACACAGCCAGAAGCACTCTCAAAAGGCCAGTGATGGGAACAGTCAGAGGCCCTGGTACACCCACCGGTGTGGTGACTTGTGGGCTGTACTTCTTTGGAGGTTCTATTTCACATTTTGTATCCACTGGATTTCCCTCTTATTCATCCTTTGCAAATACAGTCTGCAGGAATTTTAGAAAGTGGGGTGTAGAGGAAATACAGGTATTGGGGTAACTACTAAGTAACTAGCACATGCTGGGCTTACCGGGATCACTGAAATCAACACATTTCTAGCTTTACCTCCTCCCTTCCACCAAGGCGGTAAGATCTTGCACCATGTTAGCATTTTGAAGCCTCAGCAAAAAGAGTCGGCGGGAAATAATGTCTTGGTTATTACTAAAAAATTATAGGTGTTCCAATTATAGGGGAAACATGAAAGAGAGAGGACATGTGTACTCGGTGCCGTGAAACCTGCGTCAACCCTCCCAGGGCAGTCAGGTTATTCGTCTTGTTAAAATAGGTGACTTTGCACTCTGCTCCCCCTTTTGATCTGCACTGAACACAATGGACGAATGATGGCGAGCAGAGTCCCAGGCGGGGAGAACCGGAAAGCATCAGGCTGATGCTGGAACCACGGCTGACCCGCTGTGGGATGCGGATGTCACGCACTGAAGGCTGTCCTTGGTTCTGGAGGACTGCTGTCACTCATGGAGATCACGAAGCCCTGACAAGAACAGGGACAGGAGCTGTGAGCACAGAAGGCTGGAATTACCTCCTGTGAGGCGTGGCCATTTGTCACTAAGCTCCTTAATGCAGGGTCGGTAGGAGTTCAAGGTTCAGGGGAACAGATGAGTCAAGAATCACTTCTTCTCTGTAGTTACAACACCTGATCCTGTGTGCTTTAATGCTTTGTGGTCTACCTCCAAAAGGGGGCCTCACCTGATGTGTTTTTCTGGGCTTACATCTCCAACTGCTGTGCTCTGGTTAAGGGTGTGATTTTACAACCAGTTGGAACTCTCACATCAACAAGTACTTTTAAAGTGCAGTGCAGTGCCTGTGGGAGGATGTAACTTTTTATTTTGGGGGGACTCATTCTGTCACCCAGGCTGATGTGCATACAGCAGGATGACAATGACCCATTGCAGCCTCAATTTCCTGGGCTCAGGTGACCCTCCCAGCTCAGTCTCCTGAGTAGCTTGGACTGCAAGCATGTGCCTCTACGCCTGGCTAATATTTTGTACTTTTTGTAGAGATGGGGTCTTGCCATGTTGCCCAGGCTGGTTTCAAACTCTTGGGCTCAAGCGGTCTGCCTGCCTCAGTCTCCCAAAGTGATGGGATTATAGGCACGAGCCACTGCACCCAGATGATTTATTTTTTCATTGCACCAATTCTATCCAGTTCTTCTACTTCATATTTTTCATGAACTCGTCACTCATTTCATTGTGGGGCTTCTAATAATTCTCAGTACGTGATTCCCAAAGGGTTTTGGTATCTGCCAAAAATACGTCCATTGTGTCTTTATGTCCACAGATAGCTCTGGGAGACGGTTAATTCCTGGGTGGTTTGGGACTCCTTTGTGATATTTTCATTTTTGTTTCAGAGTCACACAAACCCACCCCCAATGCTACTGGGAACACTCAGTATCAGCTAACTGGTCAGATTTCCCACATACTACCAGTTTCTCTCTACTGGCCCACCATGTCCAGCCTGTAACAGTCCAGGGCAACTTCCACGACCGATTTAAATACTAGGTCTGCTCCTCAATTTCTTAATCACTTACAGGTTATCTACACATTATTTGTTTAAAGTTTTCTGGGTTTTGCCAACTTGAAATTTCATCCATTTCATGTTTACATCCTTTGTCTGAGAGCTGCTTGTGTCCCACGGGATACAGCTGGTTTGGAGTCAGGGATAGGCTAGGGGCTCAGGCTTGAGCATACAGCAGCCGGATCTCCAGACAGGTCCCAGGCCCGTGGGTCTCTAGCGGCTCCTAGAGCTGGTCTGGGGCTGCCTGGTCTTCGGCAACCATCAAAGCTTGATGTATGACAGGCAGTCATAGCAATGCCAGTGGAAACTGGGATGAGGACCAGAATGGACCACGTTTGACGTCATTAAAAACACATCATCTGGAGATCAGTTCTGGACAGGAAAAGAGAAACAAGAGCAACGGAAAACCCTCTGCCCGTGCGTGAGCCGCAGGCAGCAGATGTGCTCTGAAGACAGCTCACCCAGCTTAGGTGATGGGTGTTGATTTGCTGTGCTATTTTTGTGCTCATCAGCATGTCGAATTCCTTCCTAACCTTTCCCTCACTTTAAACTTCCCCTGGGAGTCTCAGAATATCTCACGAGTTTCTCGGAGAAGCTACAGATACTCATTAGGAATGAGCTAGAAAGCTGTCAGCTTTGGAAAAAAAGGAAGATTTGGAGGTAGGCTCAGGAAGTTTTATTCTCACTGCAACGTCTCCTGTCCTGGGGGAAAGTCAGGAGATAACAAATAAAATCACTGGTGCTGAAAACCCAGGCAGGTGCTGATGTTGGTGCGCAGGATATGTTTACAGCTGTTTCTGGACATTGCTGTGGTATAAACTTCTGTCAGAGACAGCATCACTTAAGTAATGAGAAGCAGCAAACACCTCCCAGGGTCTAGCCCTACAAAGCCAATTCAGCAGAAGCATGGCCCACATCTGCGGGCGTCTCCCCTTCCAGGCAGGAGCAGCGCCGAGCACACAGGGACCCCACATTCCGCTGGGCCTGTTTCTGCAGAGCTTCATTACGCTTACAGGGTGCCCAGGGCTGCTGGCCTGGAGCCCCTTT